GGGGGGGGGGGGTGTCCCGAGTCACGATCAAAATGGTCCGAATCAGCGACAGCAGATATAGACAATCGAAGATCGAGGAGCTGTTGTCGGTCATACACAAGCAGCGAGTTGATATCCCAGAAAAAAACGAAAAAAGCAAAAATAATCCAAACAGTATCGTCAGAGGTAGATTGCAGGCCATGTACACAGGCGCCATCTTACCGGAAGTGGTATAGGATATAGGTCCAGGTGTATCAGAAAGCCAAAAAAACACATGTTAAGGATAGGAAAAAGAATTACAAATACAAAACAGTTTGAGCAGAGTAAGTAAAGACAGTAGCAGAGTGAAAAGTGTGGTTAGTTTGTCCTCCAGCAATCTAAGCCTATAGCAGCATAACTAAGGTCGTTTTCACACTAAATAGTCCGGTAGACTTGGTTCGGTTCGGGACCAATATTCATGAGCTTTTGTTTACATTTGAGCTGGTGCGTTTGTATTCACACTGCACTGTGCAGTCGAGTCAACCTGTTGAACCAACCTATTCCCCCGCTCGCCTGAGGGGGCGCTGCACCAAGATCTACTGAAAGAAACGACAGAAAAATCTCTGAAGACACGTCTTCTTCTTCTTCTTCTGTAAATAAAAATAAAAACGAAGTGGCATCAAGTTTTAGCAGTTTTAGGAGTTATATTTTGTCATGTTTCAAAAATGGACTTAGTATGAGCAGAAGATGAGACAGAAGACCATGGAGAATATTGTTTTTCCACACAAGGCAGCTGATGGCTCCATATAAGGTCAGAGAAATGCGTGTTTGTTTACCCTGCGGAGCGGGGCCTGGTCTGTTTACATTCACACTGCACTCAAACCGCGCTGGAGTTCGCTTCTACTGGACAGAGACCTAGGTTTTAGCCCGGGCCAGAGTTCACCTTTTTGTTCCGTGACAGAGTTCGATGGCGCGTTCACACCTCCCTAAACGAACCGGACTTTCTAGGAAAACGAGCTAGAGTTCGATTCCACAAGAGAGGAGCCTGAGAACTGAAAGATCTTCCTCCCATTCTGTTTTTGTAAATTCTAGGAACCACAAGTAAACCTGTAGTCTGAGAGTGAAGTGCTCTGTTAGGAAAATATGGAACAATAAGATCTGTAATATAAGATGGAGCTAGGTTGTTGAGAGCTTACTGCAATTCGCCCTGTTTGGTATCAGTCAGACCTCCATTGCACGACTACAACTGGTCCAGAATGCAGCAGTCCGATTTTTAACCAGTACAGACAAAAGAGAGCACATTACACCAGTTTTGGCCTCACTGCACTGGTTACCGGTTCACTTTCGAATC